TGTCTGAGGTTCGGACTTCCTCATAAGAATTTTGTCGCAATACGGTTCACACTCATCCAAACAGTTTACCGCCTCATCGTACGTAGGAGGTGTTCTTGGGTGTTGGGCAGCGATCTACAGCGAGGATTTCTTACCCCAGAAGGATCACCTAAGCGGAGTCCGTCCTTTCCATCGGGAAGCCCAGCTATGAGTAGACCAATACCAGAATCCACCACCGTCCTGCTATTCAACTAGTTGCATGGTTGCAAACCTGCATCCGTTCCACAAGGACCGGGACTGCGTGTGGTAGTGATGACCTGAGGCAGACTTTGTTTAGGCTGACTTCGGGTCTCCACAGAACCACAATGGCTATACCAGAAAACTCCGAAAAAACGGAGATAATGCTAGGGCGCGCACAACCAGTGAGGACGGGCCATATAAGTAAGTGGCTAAAAGTCAACACTCGCGACGAATGAAACCCATAGGTGTCACAGTGAGAGCAGGGAGAAATTAAGCGTTGTCCACTCCTCAAAAGCACGAAGTATGCGTCGTCATGAGAGAGTTAGGGAATGTTCTTAAGAAAACAACAGTAGAAAAAAATCCAGAAGTGATTACAAGAAACGATCTCTGTGGCGCGGCGAATGAAAGAAAAGCAACTTTCTGAAAGTCAAAAGCTGTAGATAGCAGTTTTTCGCAGACTACACTCATAGCAACCTCGTAATAGGTCAGCTGTTGAGTGAATATAAACATTTTGGGAAAAGTTTTCTAGTATTCCCACGACCGACCTTCTATTAACCGCGTCTGTGCGATTTTATTTCTTTGTTTACGAACAAGCTGAAGTTTCGGCGGAGTTCGCCTTCCTCAGAGCCTGAAAACTTGGCCTTTCCAAGCTCTCAGGAAGGCGAAATTATGCGAAACGTCAGTTTATATGTTAAAAGAGAAATAACACCTAGTGTTTGCCAAACAAGAATATAAAGATATTTAAATTGCTAAAGGAAAACGATTGGAAAGAAATGAATGGAAAGCAATACACTCGTGTTCAGAGTAATAGGAAAGTGTTTTCCAAATTCACTTTTTCTCTTGGGGCACGAATGCGCTCGCCAATATGTAAGAATAACGTTATTCGTCCATGAAATTTGCGTACAGGAAATTGTTACGTTTGCATGAATATTGATCCAAATACATTTCACTTTTATTGGTTAATTCTGTGGCACGGACCTCTTTCGGTGGGTGGATATCCTTCCCAGATGTTGTGACTGAGCGTACTTTGATAAATGCTATTCTCTTAATGTTGGAATTTAACGGAAAACTTTTGTTCGTCAATACAATGGTGCTTGCATGGCTGTACAGAAATGGTTCACAGAGACTGCTTTTGGTGATGAGTCCTACGATTTGTTTGGTACGTCGAAGTTCGACATTTACGAACACGTCGTTCTGTGCCTCTATACATTAAGTAATTGAGGACGTTACAACTTCTGAACTCGTACTAGAAAAATTTCCATCTTAATAGAATTCTTGCATTCAGTTCGCAAAGATCTGTAGGTTCTAATGGTTTTAATTCTACATAATAAACATCTACGACTTAAAAACGGATTGTTTTCTAGCCGACAGCATACAGTTCGTATTTTTCACATCCAATTTACAACAATGTCTCAGCTGTAGCTGTTGAACAATTTTAATCCGAAGGGAGAAACCATTGAATCTTCAATGTCTTCAGCAGTAGTCTCTACCCACTTCCGATCCTCCTGTTTCTCTCCGTTCGTCTCTACAAGCAGATCCAAATTACCCACATAAGATTCATGAAAATGTGATAGCTCTATGTATTATCGACTTAGAAACACTTCAGGTACTTCAGATTGTGATAGAAGATGGAGTGGTTATGAAATATCACCACATTTAAGCACTCAATACCATTGTCATCACTGTCGTCTTCATCCCTTGCTTTGTTTTCCTCAGACCTTACATCGTAAGGCGTACGGGTTACGAGATTCTTGGATCTTGTTCAGTTCCAAAACATTTTCTAGTGACTTCAGTTTCTATTTCTCCACTGTCGATGAGGATTCTAGCAAAAATGCAACCAAGGTGACTCAAGCATATAAAATTAGGTCATTAATCTGTATTTGACTGCTCTCCCCTGTGAGTCGTGGTGATGAATAGTATGCATGGGATCGGATGGTAAATAACCTATTAGAAAGTGCGAGCACATTCTCAACGTATTGCTGATGGCGTCTTAGGTAGAAAACTATCGTAGATGGGAGGAAGGCAATGCAGTGGTCCAGTGGGGTAACACATGAGCCCCGGGAAAGGTAATCGCGGTTCAATCTGGCCCAGGGTCCAAGTTTTGCAAATATCTCAGTACTTTTGTGGTTGCATTTCACATGATACCGTGCCGTGAAAAATTTTAGTGGGCAGTAAATAAAAGGGTTTACACTGTCAACATATTGTAGAACCGTGAAGTCAAGAAATACCATACCTGGATAATGGGTATGTGTTTGGCACACACGAATGAAAATGATTAGAAACTGTAGGAAAATGTATGGAAGGAAGCAAAAGGGGATACACAGAAAGTAAAGAAGAAAACTTGAGGATTGATGACAAAATACATGGGAAGACGGAAGTATAGAATGAAAACACGAAGATAGATGAATACCGCACGGCAAAAAATTAGGCATGCCTTCGGGCGGACTTCTAGGGGGACTCCGCTTGATCTCGGATGTATTAAACGCTCATTTTGGTCTGACTTTAGCTCTTAGCATGTTTGCATGTGATTTTTTGTCATGTTTAGTTTATCTGGAGGTCTGAAATTGATGACTTGCTGTTTTCCACTATTCATTGTTCACGGAATGCGCTTTTGTCTGATGTTGGAGAAATTAGATTACTGAGGCTGGCGAAATGTTCCAAGAACTGGTGATGACATTAACTACTGGCGGCGGTGCGAGTCATAAATGGCTCCTTGAAGTCCCGGCGCCCTGAAGCATTGCTCGTTTTAGATTTAAGCAGTGATTTCACAGCTCATAGCAGACTTTATTAGCTAAAATAAAAGCCGTTAGAATTTACACATCATTCCTAATAAGCTAAAATGTTACCACTGCACACCGAGAGGGCCCCAATTTCTGGTAGACAATGGGGTGGTTTTTTTTTTGTATTTTTGTGCCAAGGTTTGTATCTCGTTAAGCGAGACGATTTAGCGAGCGATTTCTTAGCGCAAGGCGCAATGAAGCCTCACGTTGTGCCGTTGATGTTTTCAGCAGCCGCACTTTAAGAAGTAAAAAATTTTAGTTCCCTTCCCCGTTTGAATTTCGATTTTCAATCAAACTCAAAAAGCAATAACATTTTATGAGGACTGTTTGTAGAACGTCGGCAGAGCAAAGTTTCTTGTGTAAATATTTGCACTTCTCATTTCTCAGCCTTAAGTGTCGAAAAATATGCAGTACACGACAAAAATTGGAAGTCGTCGCCAGTGGTAATAATAGCATAGAAGAAACTACCTTTTCTTGTGGATTGTTTGAGCTGAAATTGTGGCTGTGTGATTTTCAGCGCATTGCTTCGATGGATTGGGCGACGTTTTCCTGGGAAGATGTAGAGATTCTACAAGAGTCGCAATAAAACGCATTCCACTTGATGCTCTAGACGTGAAGATCGGTACTGCTGGAACAGAGACTTCCGATGGGAACAGTCGTAGACTGGTGCACCCAAAATCTCCCGATCGAGCGCAGTTGATTCGGGTTAGTACTCCGTCATACTTTTATAGATTTTTGCTATTAGCTTTGTGGGAAAGTATTTATGGTTTTTGACCGTGGATTTTAATCATCGTAACTAAGTTCAGATACAACGTTATTACCCAAAGTAAGAACCACTAGAATCAATATTTTTTTGCCAACAAAGTGCAAATTTGTTCTGGCAACACGAGATTCTGAATCCTTGAACAACAAGTTGCTCAGTGGTATTTTTTAGCATTGGTGTGGTTGGAAATTTTATATTCCAGTAATTGTCGAGTTTCCGAGTCTAGTAGATGGGGCAGGGACTCGACAGCCTAAGTTGGCTAACGTTTTGCAGCGTTAGTTGTGCAACCTTGAGTGTCAACCCCGTTTTGATGCAAAAGGAATAGCATTTTCTTCTACCTTTGTTTCAATAAACATGCTGCACTTTTTTGTGAAAATTCATCGATTTCGTGGCCTTGCTTTTTTAATGTGATTGTTTCGCCATGTTTAAGACCTTTTACGATTCCTTCTGCTGATTACAAGGTAGTCATCATAACCGTATTTTGATTCGAGTTATGATTTGGGAGTTTTCCAAGGGACTCAATGTTAAGTAAATGTTAAGTTCAGATGGTCGCCATCAACTGCTCAAAGCGTTCACTACCTTTTCCTTTATGAGGTATAAAATCTTTCTCTGGTATAAAATCCCACGAGTTGGCTGTACGTTATGCTACCTCTTGCATCGGCCAAACTTCGGTGGAGTTTCAGATGAATGCCGTTGTTTTGGGTAATGTGTGGCGCAGTGGTCGGAGACGCCCTGCGGTACACATATGATCGATTCCCGCGCCTCTGAGCCACTAAGCCTTCCATCCCTCCTGAGTCGGCAGATTGGTACCAAACTTGTCTGGGAGGATAGCAGCACTGGGTCGATACATCCGTAGGCTACCGTGAATTTTTGTAAGGGCCAGATATGAATTCAACCACCTCGAGAGGATGCACAATGAAGTCTAGTGCATAGCGCATCCTAAGGAAGGGAGGGATGATCAACGCCGAAAGCATTATCCTTTTATCCTTTTACCGTTGTTTTATGTAAAAATCTGAAGTGTAAGGAAGCAAAACATTGCGATTTCGGTGCTTTGGGAGCATCAAACTCTGCACGCCACCGATGTCAGCGAGGAATAGTTGCTATGGAATTTATATATAAACTTTGTGCTGACCAAATCCGCCGTTATCTTTGTGTCAAATTAATACAGTCTTAAAATTTGGTTAGCAGTTGTTGCAACTGTAGTAGGAGTTTTCATGAAGGTAATTGCTACTCTCTAGGAAGACATTGGTTTCATGAAACTTCTGCGTCATCCTCACATTGTGGATTTTCATGCTTGTTTTGTATTTGGACCATCAATATACTTGGTGCTTGGTGGATGTTCCTATGGTGTGTTTCTATTCACGATATTTCGAATTATGAGTGGAAATGCTGATGAGTTTTATGTTTCGGCTGACTAAATGTTAATTATTAGTATTTTAGGTTCGGTGTCTGATGTAATATCAACATCATATCAATGTGGCTTGCCAGAGAAGGCCATCGCTTCCATTCTTCGTCAGCTTCTCTCAGCCCTTGCCTATCTTCATGCGCAATACATTATTCACCGGTTTGTCACATGGGATTTTCGAAGTCTAATATCTGGACTGTAATACATCTTGAAGGTCAGTACGAGCTAATCACCTTCTACTCGACTCAACCGGAAGTGTCCGTTTGACAGGTTTCCGCTTGGCTCGGAAGCTTACATTCGACGAACAGTCTACTACTGATTTCGACAGTCATCTTGAACCATCCCTGCTTTGGTTAGCACCAGAGGTTCTTGGTCAGGTGCTTACTAAATCATTCTTTTTGCACTATCGCTAACAATGCGTCCACGAAATAGTAGAAACAGGATCTGAACGGATATTCGACTAGAGCTGATATATACAGCGTGGGTGCCACGATATGTGAAATGGCGAACGGATTTCCACCATTTGGCGACATGGAACGCTTGGAAATGCTGTATGAGAAATCAAGAGGCACTACACCTCGACTTCTTGACTCTTCTACTCTGCCTACCTATGAAGGTATTTTTGCATGGATCTTTGCAATCATATTAGTAAGTAGTCTGGTAACCAATTAGAAAATTGGTCTCACTCAAATTATTTCATAGCCATATAACTTCTATATTTACCAAATCTTGGTCATTGCAGAACCGTCGGAGCATGGCAACCGCAAATTCACTGAGTCGTTCCACAACATAACCGGATTGTGTTTGAGAGCCAATCCTATTAATAGGCACGTTTGCACGCTATAGTAGATGGCGGCTAAGGAGACTAAATTTCTTTACGTTGGGTTAAATAAAAAACAAAAAGTTCGACGTTGCTCAATACATTAGGTGATCATGCATTCGACTCTATTAATACTTCGATACTTTGAGTACCCGTCGTTACTGCTGACCCCATCATAGTTTCCAGTTTCTTGGAGTTTTGCTGGTTTAGCGAAATATGTTCTGTGGAATCCAGAGGTCAGCCTAGCCAAAGATTGCCCCATGTCGTTTCCACCACAGGCAGTCTCTGCCGTTGTGGATCAGAGGTAGATTTGCCACCACGCGACTAGTTTGATACCAGGACGGTGGTGGTTCTTGGTATTGGTTCGCTCTTAGTTGAGCTTCCGGAAGGAAACGTCGGACTGGTCATCTTGGGAGATCCTGGTGGAGACATGAAATTCCCGCTGTACATCGCACTACCACACCAGGAGAGCATCTCAGTCACGATGAGACGATAAACCTTTGGGAAGTATGCGGAGTATAGTGAAAGAAGACAACTCTATTTAGACTGAAAAATTCAATATGAAATCAATTGAAATAGACTAGAAAACTGACCAGCAAAAATTATCCTAAAACGTAGCAATTCCCAAGACCTTCTGCTAACCTCGGCATTGATTCATAATTCGATTTTTTTCTTCAATGAGCAGACAGGTTGTTATCATACAATTTATTAGGATACAATAGCTGACGTTTGGGCTGTTTCGCCTTCTTCAGAGCTGTTTATTTGTCAGGTGTCAGGTCATTGGATTAGCCTCTGTGGACACAGACACAGTTATCGCCCATGCATTACTCTGTGCGGCTGCTATCCACCAACTAACTTAAATACTTACAACAAGTAAACGGCTCTGAAGAAGGCGAAACCGATGAAACGCCAGCTATTGTATCATAATAAATTCTATAATAACAACCTCGTGTCTGCTTATTGAAGGAAAACATCGAATTATCCTAAAACGATGAACACGGAGATTCTTTGTAAGCAGTAAAGTTGGTGGAACCAGGATAGACGTTGATGAAAAAGAGAGAGGAAACAAAGAGATGACATTAGCTGAGCTATTGCTTTTCTTTAGAGTGATAGAGCAAACTTTTTTCTACCAACTCTATTGTCAACTTAATATTTCTTTCCATTGCCGAAAATTATCGGGGCTTAGAAAAACAGCATTGTCCTTTGTGTACTGAATAAGAGCTTAACTTTTGACCAGTAATTCACTATTTTTTGATGTGTAGTTGTTATAATGGGTTTCAGTTAGCTCATTATATAGACATATGCTAAAGATGCCAAATACATCCAACGTAGATTGGAAAATCCTTCCAATTGCTGACAGAAGTATGTTTGGATAGGGAATTATACTACGATGTAATCAATAGCTGCACGTGTTTTGCTCAAGATGAATGACGCAAGGTCTTTTCTATAAGTTTGTGACAGTTTCACTCTTCAAGTTCTCTAATTGTCGAAGACATAACATGTATTTTCCAAGAAACAGCACTGTCGTGGTTAAATCGCGGACGACTTTCTGCGGTCCCCATGAAATTAACGGTGCATGCAAATTTGTAAAGAATCATAAAGGAGACTGAATGCATATTCGACATAAGCAAGACCTTCTGCGGGCTTGGCTGTGTACCACATCAGTGCTTTCATCCCACCAAACAACTCTGGTGTGAGTTTGTCGACCTTGAATGGATAAAAGATTTGGTTTGCTCAGGATGTGGTGTATCTCTCATTACACTATATAACCGTGAAAAACTGCTTTCACATTCGTATGTTAAAAATGTGTTGAATAATCTGATGGTCCAAGAATAGTGCATTTCAGACCTGATGCCAACAGCCTCTTTTCTCACCCGTTTTTGAAGAAAGGAAAGAAGTCGCTTATCGAGCTTTTGCCGCTAGCTCAATCATTGGAGCAACTGGAAAGAGGTGTCCATTTATTTTTGTATAAGTTAAAGTGGTACGGATGTTTTCATTTTCAGTATCCGGCAGAGAAGATGTTGTCACAAATAAATACGATGTTCCAGAATGGGTTTTTTGATGTTTGGCAATAAACCTATAGACCTGATGTATTCATCGAAACGCGCTATTTCCAAATGCTTATTTCATCGAAGAATGCATTAAACCTTTCTTCGGTGATCCTTTCCCTTCATTTTAAAGTCCTTTTCTAGTCATGTCATCTTTCATAGATTGTAAAATATTTCACATGGCCGTAATCGATCAACTGTACTTGCTGGAAATATGGAAATTTGTGTAAAGGCTGGATTATGTTTTTGTATGTGCACCGCAATAAATGCGACGCAAATTAGATTCCAATCGGAATTCATTTTATTAAATGGTTGTTGTGGGGTCATATTTTCCAAGCGAATCTGTCTGTTTCATATAGGTGGCTTTCGGGTACATGCAGATAATCAGTCTATGAATGTGTGCCGAGCAACTACTCTCATATACTCTTAACATCTGTGGTTCTCAACTTCCACACAAGCATCACGAAGTCCAAATTAAAAATTGTAGAGAAGATTATAGAAACGCCAACTCTGTACCTGTGATGGAGACGACCTGAGGAGGATCTTGGTTAGGCTCATCGCGGGACTCCGGGGAACCATAATAGCTCAACCAGCAAAACTCGAGCCTAGGTGCCCGCAGCACACTGGGCGCTACCGTGTGCGACGGTGGGCGATGAGACAACCAACTGGTAAGAGGCGATTAAATCTTGGGTTGCACAGGACGTCACTGGAAACGGACAAAACAAGCACGCACACAACACGCCATGGAAACTGCTTGCTTTGCACCAGCAGCACCACAATAATATCTTGAAACGCTAACCACTCCTATTCGGGTCCTTGGTTGCATCAAATTCTATGTGATCGAGCTAGTTGTTGGGTTTATTGCACACCTATCTAATGCTTAACTAGTCATCACACACAAAATGCTATCACCGCACTTGGCCACTCTTTGTCCCCAACTTGCACGTCAAAAGAAATTCAGTATCATGTGCTACTCACCAACTTGTACAGCCCATGAGAGCGAACTAGACGCGTTCTACAATGTGAGAAGATAATCCACAACGAAAAGTCCTATGGATTCTGGAGACTTCAGTGCCAGATTAGGAAAAGCCAACGAGAGTGGATACAGTATAGGAAACTTTGAATTTGGAGAATGGAATGCGAAAATAAGCAGTTTTATAGGACTCCTGTCTGCAGTACGTCTGTTCTGATTGTTTGGAAAATCACTGATGTACACAGGAATCTTCTTATGGCACGATTCACTCGGAAATCGACCAAATTCTCACGAACAGGTGATAATACCTCTTTCACACCTCGGTGGTAGCTGGATTCTATACTGCATCTAATTAGTCTTCTCCTTGCAAAGACTCTGTTTAGTCATGAGCTGGAGAATAGCTGTGATCGTCCAAGGAAAACGTAATAAATTGTTTATGAGGATTATATTCTCAATAAAATCCTCTCCTCAAATGACTGGCAGATAAATGAAGATCCAACCGAGGACTTCACTTCGCTTGTCGAAGGGCTTAAAACGTGCTGAACTCATCTCAATTCCTCAAACAGGAAGCTCAGATCGCATCTCAGTTACCACTAAGGGGTTGCTCAAAAAAAGCAGGAAACTGCAGTTTGATCCTACTGCGACACATCTAACACGTGTGATAATAAATGCCAGCTGTAGATCTGTGCAGGATTTACATCGGTACAGGCATGAAAAGTTATTCGAAGCAGCTCAAAAATTACTTAGTCTAAAGAAACGCCGTCGGGAACTTTGCGACTATAATGTTTCACTATCCGCCCTGATGAACAAAGATGGGACTATCACTACATCCCGCCATGATATGAAATTGATAACGAAAAAAATAAATATAAGCCTTTTCTGCTCCGCGATCTCCGTCTCGGACCCCCGGTGGTGAAAAACACCCAAGATTCTACCCTCTGAAGTTCGAGTTGCGATGGAAAGCATAAAGAGAGGCACAGGTACAGGACACGGTAAGATCACCGCCTATTTCAGTAGAAGTGGAGGTCATAAATTACATGTACTATCCGCAACCCATATGATGTCTTACTGTCACAAAGAGAAAATCCTAGACTATTGGAGGAAGTCGCGCATGGTCATCCTACTCTAGAAGGTTGACCGAATGGATCGAAACCACCGCCCAAAATGCTTGTTGCTTGTTGAGTCTACCCTATAAGCCATTGACGAAAGATTATTCCTTTTGCGTATATCGAAGACAATGAAGGTAAAACCAGATCTTAAGATTCTGGGGAAGCAAGATTCCAAAACAATTTTGCTGTATGGACCATATCTAAACCGTGTCACGGGTCATCGAAATATAACGAGAGCACCATCTATGTCTTGTCCTAACCTTTACCATCTATGAAAAATGGTTTGACAGCGTCGAAACGAGTGTCATCGTATCAGTGCTCGTCACTCAAGGATCGGATCCGTTCTACATACGAACATTAGCTGACTATTATCCGAATTACAGCACAAATATACAGCTTCTTCATCGACTCCTCACCATACCCATAGAAGAAATGGTTCGACGAGGAGACAAAATGTCATCAAAGGTGTTTACTACCGTCCTGGAATGGATAGTCCAGTCACTCGATTGAGATGACAAGCACAGAGGTATTAATGGAGAATTCCCATCAAAATCTTCGCTTCACGGATGACATCGTCTTGTCGAGGAGTACCAGTTCAGCGGAGACGATGCTTAGTGAATTCAACGAAGCCAGAAAAAATATTGTACTGGGCATAAATAGGACGAAGACTCGGTATATGAAGAACTCATAATGTGAAAACGAACAAGTAGAAGTGGATGGTTCTCTAACTACATAAACGAGTACTTTGGAGGTCCAGTGAACATGGAGAATAACATAAAGGAAAAGTTAGAGGAAATTAGCATGGGCCGCATTCGGGCGTTTCAAAGAAGCTACCGCCAACTAACGGACCTAAAACTTCGCGCTGAACTTTTCGATTCAACAGTCCTCATTGCTCTGTTAAGCAGATTAGATTGGGCTGATACTTCAACCGTGTCAAGAATACTACGCACCATCCACAGAGCCTTTGAATGATGGCTCCTGAAATTTAAGCGACACTCGCAACTTTTGCCCGGAAAGCGCAGCTCAGCTCAGATCGTCGAAACCTATCCCATATTCGGGATTCAGTATACCGATAGCGAAACGCAGGCCATACAGTAAGAACAGATAGCAGATGGACGAAAAGAACAGTAGGTGGACTTCAACAGAATGCAAGCGTCCTCTTGCAAGATCGCCCAAACCATGGGCGCACGCGTTCGTGAGCAACGTCGACAACTCCACATTCGCAGAAGGGAACGATTTTAGGACTATGGAAAGGGCTTCATTAACATGATCATGTTCGACGCAGGCGATCACGATGAACGAGGATTGCGCGAGAAAGAAATGAATGAATGTTAAGCTAGTCCCCTCACAACCAATGAAGACAGGCCATCCATGTATTCAAGTAAATCAGCGAATAAAAGGACGGTTGGCATTTTATGGATTTTACACCCAGGTAAGATTAGTCTTTGCTTCAACAGCTTAGGTTGGCAACCACTGGTGTTTGAAAGTCTCGGTTTCCCATATGCGAAAGAATGTGGCACGATCAAAGTTATTTTATATTGAGATCAGTGTAATACTTGCTGCAAAACATAGAAAATAAATCACAGCTTCTGAGAGCGTGCGGTCAAAAACAGAGCGAAAGAATACGATTCGAACAATGCAAGGTAATACCAGGTGTCTATTGTAATAGAGGAAACTGAAAGACATTGGTACCTATTTGGATTGAATATGCACATCAAAATCTAAATGATGGGAGAGTGAGGCGAAGTGAAGAAGATAGGTTATTGCCTCTACGGTTGACCTAGTGGCCTAAACGAATCAGAACAAAGTATCAATACCGAAATTATAATGACATTGCTATGAAGTATTCTTCGCAGCATTTACGGTATGTGGTTCAGGCAATTCACTCAGCCACAGTTAAGTAGTACAGCGACAACGAAAAGAAAAACAGAGGATGGGAAATAAATATAAATATCTATTAAACTCGGGTCAAGATAAGACGAGATGAATTAATCACGTACGCACAGCCCGCAACCATAGATAATTGAGTATCAAACAGGTGCTTTGTTGATTAACAAAGAGTCCCATAACCTCTACCCGACCGAGCAAAACTGATTCGAGGAAATTCAGAGGAAAACTATGCTTTTGCTAAAGAACTGATACGAACACAGAAGAGGAAATAACATACAACATCACAGCGAAGAGAACCATGAGACAAGAGAGAAGAGAACATGCATTAAAACCAGTAAAGGAACCGCATCATATGCAATGCACCACTGTAGCAACCATTCGAGCACTACTTGAATTCAGGTGCCCTCGAAATCAACTAGCAGTACGGTGACGCAGAAATGAAGAAGTGTTATTTTCTTATAGCCACAGAAATTCGCCTCGAAATACCAAGGATCTTGTTAGTCATCATCATCAGACAACGGCTCAAACGTCATCGCGGTTGTGATTGCATCGGATCCAGCTGCGCGTAATAGTTCTGCGAGTGGAGGAGCTAAAGATGGCGGGTTAGGTGTAGGAGTAATGACGGTTGGCGCAACTGCTAGTGGAAAATCGAAATCAAGCGCCGAGAACATCCGCGAACCGCCGGACACTGAAAAACTGTTCATCAATACTGTAGTTACTTTAAGTGGATAAAGAAAAAAGTTCTCGGTGTTGATCTATCCTTGAGAGGTGACTGAATGCATATCTAGCCTTTACAATGACTCGCGTTGGCCTGCTGTTATATCGAGCCCGTGCTGCTATCCTCCCAGACAAGTCTGGTATCAATTTACCGACCCTGAAGGAACGGAGGGTTTGGTGTGTTTGGGGCGCGGAGATCGATCTCGTGTGTATCCCATGGGACCTCCGATCACTGCACCACACGCACTGCTTGCTTTAACTGATATTCAGGTTAATTGGATGTATTTGCCCTCTCATAGTCCACGATCGACCTAAATTCCTATAGAAGTTTGGTTAATGCTACGCTCTGAACTTTCTAAGTACTTCCAGGTGCTCGCTAAAAACATCGAATACGATATAAACGAACACGCTGGAGTCGATGATGGGGCTTCTGCACGTGTGAAAGGACTTTTCGGAGCGTTGTCATCTGGAGAGATCGGTTCGTAGGTTAGAGGTCCCGAAACATTTGAAGTGGCTAAAAACTGAAGAGCAGGAGGCGGTAGAGTACATGCAGCTGGGACGTTCGTATCCTGAAAAAAAACAGTCTATAAGTTCAGCAAAACTCATAAATTCTATTTCAACACAACAAATAGAAGTTACTTGGAACGAAACAATTGGGGTAAAAACCCCCGATGTGTTAGACACAGGAGAAGCCAAAGGTTGCGCAATACTTGAGGAGACCTTAAAAAACATTACTTTAAGTTAAACAGGAAAAGACTAGAAAAGAAAATAAGCTTTTTGATAGATACTGCGCTATCACGGTTTTTAGTACACATACATTTGGAGAAGCCTTTGGCTGTGCAGTGGATGAACCGGCAGGCGAACATGATGTAAGCGATTGTTGAATGTGAGTTGATGCTGTGGATGGTGTCGCCGTTGACAATGATGGGGACAACTAAATTTACAAATTCGAACTATTCAATAAATTTTGGATTCATTTCCATTTCTCAAGATTGACCACCATCTCTGGTTATTAAAGCTAAATTAGTAAGAATAGGATAGAGTACATGTTGAGCGGTCATTTGAGGTGAGCTAGTGGCATTGATTGAAGTATTAACAAAAAGTGAACTGTTAGACGACATTCCTCCCATGATAGATCGTGTCGCTGGATTCTGAAAACCACAGCTTTTAGCACTTTCCATCGCCAACGGTTCCTCATCCTTAGATGAATCTTTTGATCTATTCAATTTAATTACATGGAATGAGTTCAGAAATTGTTCATTAAAATAGAAATGATGGTATAGTTTGGACCGTAGTACTAATAAATGTAAATTACTAAAAAAAAAAAACTAACAATCGATGGCCTTTGTATTCCTACTGCGCCTACTGCTGGGCTAATAGGTCGTCTGTGAGGATGACGAGAAACAGATACAGACGGAATGTTCAGCATTTCCAAACCTTAAATTTAAGTGGTGCATTACATTGCAAGATACAACTGAAAAATAAAACAATTCTGAAACGTACCGGACTTTCGGCGAATCTCCTGGGTACCGACTGAGGACTGACTTGTATGTGATGCCGTTGAATGGCTGTTGGAAAGCTCCTTGTGAACAACCTGTGAACAGAACATTACTTGCATGCAAGGGTGACTTGTCGTTAGGAAAAAAATATAAGCAAACCCTATCTAGCACGGTGTTAAAACTCCGCTTGTTTTCGAGCCACTGAGCATTGTCTCTGTCCTTATTTATACCAGGCCAGCAAGACTGCGTTGTGGTAGGTTGCAGATTCCAAAGAAAATTAATATTAATTCACGTAAAAGCGAAACTGTATGTAAACCAAAACGTACAGGTTTTGAATCAGCCGTTGGTTGACGGATACCAATTGGAGTTTTTTGCTGTTGTTGCTGCTGTTGCGGTTGCTGTTGTTGCTGTTGTTGCATCTGTAACTGGTAGTGTTGTGCAGCCAGTGAAATCGTCGTTGGTGGCTAAATATGTGGAAGTAGCGGAGATCATCTATATAGCAACAACGGAAAAAATCGATATAGTTAATAACCTGCACCGCTTTAACAGACTGCTGCTGACCAAAGTCCTTCACTGCACCTTTGCTAACAGCTCCAGAACTACCCACTATAACACCGCTAGTATTACTGCTGTTCAATAACATTCGCTGTTGACGCACCAAAAGTTCACGACTGGAAAGATAATGGATTCATAAAACTATTTCTCCGCTAAAAATGGTCGGCATTTGAGTACCTTTCACGAAGATTGTCAAGCTTCTTTTGAAATGTCAGCCTCGAATGTTCCGCGACTCGCATATTATCTTGTGCCTGCAGTAAGCAATGACTAAATGCGTATAATTCATAGTGTTGAATAAAAGTGCCAAATATCACGATTAGTTTAGAAGGCATAAAAATAAATCAAAACTAATGAATTTCAACCAAACATCCTATAAACTACATCCACTTGAAGCATAACCTGACTTGACCTAATTGTAACAACAGTAAAAAAAACAAGAAAAATCCAAAGAAAAGGCACTTATAAAAAGGTAAAAGATAAAGCTCTCGGCGTTGATCAATCCTTGAGAAGAGATGCGCCATGCATTCAACTTTATTAAGCATCGCTTGGAGGTGACTGAACGCATATCTGGCGTTTAAAATGACTCGCGGTGGCCTACTGATGTATCAAACCAGTGCTGCTATCCTTCCAGACACATCTGGTACCAATTTGCCGACTCCGGAGGGATGGCAGGTTTGGTCGGCCATGGACGCGGATATCGATTCCACGTATAACTTCAGTGTAGTGCACAGCGCCTGCGAACACTGCGCCATTAGTGCCCTTAGGGTACTGATACCGACAAGAAGTCTTCAAACAACAACTTCTGTCCAATTATGCTGTTTTTGACCAATCTAAGTTCATTGAGAAGAATGTGATAATACCTCCTTAAGATCTTGTTTAGCCTGAAAATCCTGCACCGTAGAATTGATACGGAACGCTGATGTTATCATTTGCTCCGCTTGCTGAAATAAATGAAAAATATCCACTTCATACATAGTATTTCTCGCATTATAACTACGTAATGAAAAATACCGCTCCCATTTGAAAGCGAATCACTCAACGACGGCAATAGTGTATAATCGGAAAGCGTTACCATCGAGTAGATGGACAAAGAAACATTACTAACAATTTTCTTCTTCTGGTACGTTCGTTCGTCTTCCTCAAGTCGTCGCACTTGCTTCTCCATACCGCGGATATCCTCATCAATCTGAAACAAATAAGCTTTCTGATGGTTATAACGGCATTTGCGCAACATTTTCCTCTGCCATCCCACTTTCTCAATCTCCTCCCTAAGGCGTTGTTCATCATCCATTTGCACTGAAGTGTCATGCATTCTATATATCACAGGAGATGACGACAACGACATTGATGCGACCACAGCTGCAGACCCATTTCCAGTATTTAACGCATCGAGCTGACTTTGCAGTTGTGTACGCTGCATTCGATGGTTTTGTGCCATACTTTGGAGCTGAAAACAAAACGAATTCAAATAAAGAAAAGGTCGCTGCTGACAAGAGATGTACACGTACGCTAGAACACTTGGCCGATTGGCTACTGTATTCTAATAGAAGCTGCTGACGTTGCAACTGTGTCAATGATGCAGTTTGTAGTGACTGATTAATCTCTCCAACTCGATTCTTAAAAAAATTGTACCTTAAGGAAGATCTCCTTTCACAATATGTATACTGTTAACTCACCACCATGGCAGCTTTATTCTTCTCGATATTAGCCGCTGTGATATCGTGATGTTTAATCTGCTCTTGTAGACGCCTCTTTGTAGCATCAATTTGTCGCTGCTTTTCCTGTTGAAGCCTGTAACATAATCGCCATTTTAGAATGGAAACTACCGAACATTCGTTTGCGCAGTAGAGTTCCATGCTAGGAAAATACCTCTGCTCCTCCCTTTGTTGCTCCATTTGACGCAACTCTAACTGTTTCGCTTGTATTTGACTCTGAACGCAGAAGATATCAGTCTACGGAAATTTCGAATATTCCACGACAAATATTCCCAATCTATTGAGAAGGAATATTGAGCCACCACACCCTTTCAGCTCTGACATATTGTAGAAGTAAAACAAAAAGATACTCACTACCATAGCAGCGTGTTGTTGTCGCATTTGAAGATTAACCGCCTGCTTCTTGTGCTGAAGAATCGCTTCGATTACACAACGAGTGGTTACATCTGCAGCTAGATAGATTCGATTCAGATCTGGAACAAACATATTTGATAAACCGGTAGTTTGAAAATTCTCAAGCTAGCCACCAATACTACAGTGCTACTAATTTATGGAAGAAAAACGATATCCAATAAGCCTCGATTAAGTCAGCGGTCCTCACCGGCATCAGAAAACTGCGAGTATGTTAGGAACAACTGATCCAGTAACGGCTGTTGCTGAATGAATTGTTGTTGAAACTAGAAATTAATGATCATTAGTATTAATGCGAACATCACTAAATGCATCACAAAAAAAATACTGAAAACATGAGAATAATTCTGTAGAACACAGTCTTTCCTGCGATTTCAGCAATAACTTCGTATAAACTTCACCTGATAATTTCGCTGCTGCTGGAACTGATCAAGAATTGCCCTTGTACGAGTCTTAAATCAGAGAACTAAACCGATGAACCTAACACTTGGGTTTCTTAAACGATGAGTTTCTAATACGGAGAGAAGCCAACATAAAACTTACTTCATCACCACCGCCAAATAGTGCATGGATCTGCAAGAGCGTGTTCTGATCAAATCCAGTAAGAACTGATGGTGTCGTCTGCAATAGTCGTTATCAGCGAGCAAAAACACTTGTAGATCACTTCGTAAATATGTTGAAACCGATCATAACAACGTAACTAAAATATGGTGAAAAATCCAACATACTTCTGTGAGATACTAACGAAACATGGTCGTTTCAAATGCGTTAAACAAAAAACGGATTACTTCCTTGTTGAACACTAGCTTAAAGTTATATGACTCCGTACCTTTTTGAGCTAGGAGTGGTTTCTACAAATTGATTTGGAACGAAAGATTCTGAAGTTTCCAAGACCAGAAGAGATAACCATCCCAAAGTTGTGATATTCGACATTATATGTGCAACCTTCACGAATTTGCTTTCATCCAGAAGACAATAAACACTTGAAAACAAACCGCGGAAACTTTTTTACTAGGCATCAGAACAAATATTTCAAGAGTATTGTACTCCTGAACTACGACTTTGTTAATACAAGGACTTATTCTATGACATGCATTGCAGAGGACTTCATATACGATTTGCTTTAAAAAAATACCCAATACATACTGTGGTACCAAAGATATCAAGAAGATTAAACCTCCATATATCTCACTACATGGAACGAAGCAACCAATTCAAATTCTGCACTATTTACTATCTCTTGTCCTTCCAGAGATAGCCAACCAGATAACTCTCGCCTCCTTTGTGCCCGAGAATTGAATAAACCACGAAAATAAAGACACTAGTGTGGAACGAAGAGTGGAGCTCAAAGAAAGCACGAATAGTGAATCTAGATGTATCGCACTATCGACCAGTACATTGATGCATAGCAATAATTCTTCAATTTCGTACGGTCTGCTTCCTTACAAAACTAGCATTTCGTACATCACAGGATTACAGATCCCTAGAAGTTGAAGGTCGTGAAGCTCACTGTCATGTTGAGAGCGCTTGTTGCGAAGTTCGTCGTTATATTAGTGTGCCGCCTACGAGAAGAACGACTGCCCTAGAGCGCTTCGTAAACAGTACGCATGCATGAATGATTTCCCATGTGTTAGTAGTTTCGCTCACGTTATGACAACAATGAAAATTGGGAAAAACTCTCGACAAGACCATACACCTTTCAATGGTCCTTCGAATTAGCGATAACGATCCATTTTTTACTACATCTTCTCTTTTAAACCAATGTGATGTCGTGAAAAAATAAAATATAGAAACCCTCCCTTACATTCGGAGTTCAAAATTACAAAAAGATGTATCACCGCGGTGCTATATAAATAGAGGTAACAGTGCACAAATTATGAGAACAGGATGGATGAGTAAGGATACCAGAAATATCTAGAGTAGTAGAGCGACTTCCACAAGCACTGCTCACAACTTAAACCAATACCAACTATACGCTATATAGAAACTGATAGCCTCTACAGTACGAAAAGTGGGAATAACGGAAACATTGCCACTAGACCTGAACGCTTTATCGTAGGGTAATAAAAAGGAATATATTGTACTACCTTCACGTATACCACGGATTTCACTCATATGAGGGATCTCGAGCAGATCAGTCGCGAGGCCATGTGGCGCGTCCCCAGGGGCGGAAAGGGGGATAATCGCTGACCAAAAGCGACCTTTACTTCCCTGAGACGCAGCTGCATCCAGAGGATGAACTCCCTGTTTCTGCTGCGCTGATTTAGCAGATACATTCTGTATTTACTAGGCGTTTTCATAAACGCGTGTATGGGTGCATTCTCGTCTATGCGGATTGTATTCTAAGAGTCAATTCGACCTAAAGCTTGTAATCAAGTGACAAAGAAGTATATGGGAAGCGGTTAGGAGTCGCCTCCAACAAATAAGCTCCATGTCCACTCTGGGAGAGCCTGGCAAGCTACTTGTGAGTATACCCAGCCCCACGTTCAGAGCCCAGCAACCCATATATGGGTATCAAAATGCTAAACAAAGTAAAAAAAAAAACGGGCCTCATTCTCCTCACCCCGAAAGAGTCCCCAATTTCGCAGCGTTGGCTAGGACGAGTACGGAAAGGATGCTAAAATCTCAGGGCCAAGCTGCATGGATTTCAAAGAACTATGGTGATTATCTGTACCTACAATGCACGCACACTTGTATCCGAGTCTTCGAGAGGACCACCTCATGCACGCAAGAAGGATAAAGTGCGACGTTATCGGTCTGGCCAAGACGAGACGACGCCACCCATTCAACACCGTCTATGACACCGGAGAAGAACTGTTTCTCGGAACATGCGACAATAGAGGAGTCGGCATTCTCGTCAACACGAGTTTGTCCATGAACATCTGTTCATTCGAACAACTAACAACTCGAATCAGACGTTTACGATTGAAGAGATGTGGATCAACACCAGCACTGACAACCTTCGCCGTTTACGCGTCGACAACAAACTATGACGAAGAAGTCGACGCGTTGTATATGGACTCGGAGAAGTTCTACAGAGAAGACCTCACATTCTTCAAGGTCATCAGTGGAGATTTCAACGCCAAGATTGAACCAAGAAGAACGTCACAATACGACCCACGGATTAGAATGGAACGAACAGTGTGAGCAGCTTTTATGACAACCAAGACCAGCCACGGTATCTCGCAATTACAAAAGCCCCACCCTCAACGCTGGACGTGGGAGTCTCCCAATGGAGAGTACCATAACGAAACAGACCACATAATAGTAAATAGGTTTTGCCTAACTGATCTCGCTGTTGTCTGAAAATTCTAGACGGGATCAGATCAACGTCTCCTTCATGCAAGACCCCATTTCTCGCAGAAAGGAAAAAAAATCCGCTAAATTGAAAAAACGAAGTCCCAAAACCTATAAATTGGCACTTATTCAACTCATTAGTCGGCTATTGAGAAGATGTCGTTGTCGATAACATCGACGAAGAATACGATCGTCTCATTCAACATCATCACATTAGCGCTATAAAACCTGAGAGTTCGAAAGTCATCAAGAAAGTCAGTCTCTGGAAACACCCGAGCTAATACGCCAGTGTGGAATCGGACGAGCTGCAGGCAACCACGAACTAACGTCCGAATTTGCAAAACAGTGTAGACAGGCGATAAACGCAGATCTTAAAGAGAGAAGAGCAGCAGTAATGATCGAAGTTGCAGAGGCTGGGAAAAGCATTCGCAAAGCCCGCCGAAGCTTCGCCAATTACAAGATCAAAATGATTGCACTCCGGCGCCCAGACAGAACAGTTACAGCGTTCAGAAATGCAATGGAGAAAGTCATTCATCAACACTGTTCACATCCCTTCGGTAGCCACGTCCACCTTCCGTCATATCAAATAAAGGAGGATGATGGATATGCTGTACCACAGGTTCTCCCTTCCGAAATCCGACATGCCATTTCGTCGGTGAAAAATCGAACAGCACCGGGCCCGGACAGCATAACACCGGAACACCTGAAGGACCTTCCGTCAGTCCTCGTTAAGACACTGGCTCAGCTCTTCACACATTACCTGCCTGAACGCAAGGTCTCCACTCAATAGAAGACCAGCAAGACCGTGCTAATGTACAAGAAGGGTGACCTCCACGATATCGGCAACTATCGAGCAATCTGCTTACTGTCTGTCATCTACAAACTTTTCACTCGAGTCATCCTAAACAGGATCGACAGATCACTGGACGAAGGACAGTCATGTGAGAAAGTGGAGTTTCGAAAAGGATTTATTACGATGGACCACATCCATAGGATAACAAGACTCACTGAAGTATCGTGAGAGTACAAAAGACCGCTTTGTCTCACTTTCATCGATTTAAAAAAGGCCTTTGACTCAATTGAGATAGAAGCAGTCATGGAAGCCCTTGACAATCAAGGAGTCTTTACTCAGTACATAAAGAGTCTTCGTGAGCTGTACAAAAATGTCACAACCAAGGTATCACCATTCTACAACGATATTAACATCGACGTCAAAAGAGGAGTTAGGCAAGGTGATACCATCTCGCCAAAATTATTTACCGCCACCCTCTTGAACGCCACGCGAACACTGGAACGAGATAATATGGGAGTGAAAATCGATGGTCGGCAGTCATATCACCTTCACGCTTTGCTTATGACAACGTCCTTATAACATCAAACATTAGCCGAGCGGAACGCATGCTTACCGACTTTGATAAAACCAGTGGAAAGATTGCTCTTCGACTAAATCTCACAAAAATGATGTTCATGAGGAAAGGATTGGTTTCGACTGCCCCATACACGCTCAACGGAACGAATATCTCCGAATGCTCCAGCTATATCTATCTAAGTCAGGAAATCAATATGATGAACGACCTAGCTCCAGAGCTGAGCAGAAGGAAACGAGCGACTTGGAGAGCTTTCAAGAGCATCGAGGATGTAGTGAAGGGAATAAAGAACACCCGACTGCGTGCCCACCTTTTCGACTCAACGGTACTTCCTGCTCTAACGTATGCGTCAGAAACTTGGTCGCTGCGTAAAGCAGTATGAAAGATCACTCAGCATTAGCGAGAGTGCATTCGAAAGGACAATGTTAGGAGTGAATGGGATCCGAAGCTCCGACCTGCGTCAACGATCGAAAATCAAAGATGCCATTCTGTATGCCAAACAGTTGAAGATAAGGTGGGCCGGACACGTAATGCGTATGAATGACAACCAATGGACAACAGCCGTTAGTGACTGGATTCCTCGGCATGTTAAACGCACGTTAGGAAGACCACCTACTCGATGGCTAGAGTTCTCGAAAAACCTAGAAGAAAGATATGATTGTCAACGAGTCCCTAAAGCGAGCAGAACCGACTGGGCTACTCTTGCACACGACAGGGAAAAATGGAAGATTTACCAGCGCCCGCTCGAGTCACTCGATGACCAACGGGAGTACAGGTGATACAGGTGATACCTTCACGTATATGTTTGCAAAAATGTGCATAAGCTCACACATGGACATTTTTGGTGTCGATGGAAAATTGATAGCTGCAGTACTAATGCGTGACCAACACCACGATGAACCAAGAAACTGTCACACTGAAATCGGAAACACTACTGGAATACGTTACCATCAGATAGAACTGAGATTGTTGAGAACTCTGCTTTGTAAACTGGAAAGAGCATAACGAAAGGAAAATTGACAGAAATAAGATAATGATGACAACACAATGAATCTCTTAACAGCAAAGAAGGACACAGCTTATGGACGGTCCACCGAATGCAAACTAGGGCAGAATAATTCTCCCCTTATAATTTGTGACACAGCGTACTTACGATTTTTTCCAAATTTCGAAACAAATCTACCGACGACAGGTCAATAGTAGCGACAGGAAATGATGTAGCTGAGAAGATTCAACACATAGGTCATGAAACAAAGAACAATTTGGGACTTCAAAAAAGAGGATAAAAAAGAGCAAAAAAGAGTGAACACAGTATAGAATTACGGAGCTTTTAAAGAATCAAAACAGACTAAATATGAAAAACCAAGGAAAAAACTGGACGTACCGATGGCTGTGATGCAGCTGTTGCAGCCGCTGCGTTTAGTTGTGAAATAGTAGGTTGTTGTTCAATAATTGACACCGATGGAGGACGCAAAGGCGTACCAGCCGTTATTGAACCTTTTCCAATATCAGCATATGTAGAAGTATGCTCCACTAACGTCTGTGAATCATCTTTTGTATTCCTCTGAAGTTAATAAATTCACTACAGGCACAGTTCAAAATATTCCACAGCATTGGGTAATCGAACTTTAGGAAACTATCTCACGTTTAACACATTCAAGACAGCGAAAGTCTCCCGATAACTGCTGATAATATCTCTGTAGTTAGATTATCTCAGGAGACTAAGAGAAGATATTTCACTCCAATTGTTCTACAGATAAAAACAAACAACCGAAGGTACAATTTTCCTTCTGAATTTGTCTCGAAAATTTTGATAATTTCCAAGAAGCAAACGGAAAAATATAGAAGCATGAAGATGGGCAGTGCTCCAGCAAATGGCAACATCACAATCGAATCTTTTACGTTTCAATATGCAAAAATAGCTTCACTTGTACCACGCAGGATAAACTCGTGGTTGATAAGATATCTGTTTAATACAAAGATATCATAAGTCTGCGCGGCAGAAAAACAAAGTATAGCTAAGAGGGTAAAGCTCTCGGCATTAGGGATGCAGCGTGCATTCAACTTCACTAAGCATCGTTGGATGTGAATGAATGCATATCTGCCTTTACAATAACTCGCGGTGGCCTACGGATGTATCGACACAGCGCTGCTATCCTCCCAGACAAGTCTGGTACCAATTTGTCGAGCTCGGAGGGCTGGAAGACTCGGTGAGCCTAGAGCACGGAGATCGATCTCACGTGTGTGTTGCAGGGCGCCTCCGACCACTGTGCCACACGCACCCAAAACAATGTTGTCAAGAAGAAACTGTATTGAATATTTATTGTCAGAAATACCCTCACATTGAAACCACTCCAATCTGTTGCAAATGTTTTAAGTTAAAAGTTCAAATTATTCTCCAGCATGCGTTACTCATCGCTGTGAATGTGTGAACTAAGAATGAGGTATCCATAATATGTGGAACACATACGTCTATGGGAGAGCTCCTCAGAGTAGATTCTTGTGAAGTGGTGGGTAGTTCAACTATATCTGTGTCCATATCATCGTCTCGAGCGGTTAAAATGGACGTCTCTGGACAATCCTGTGTATCTTCTTCCATGGGAACATCATCGTCCTGGCGCTCACTAAAAAGGAAAATATTTCCCTGTGATTGTTTTAAAAATCATAAAAACAGTCATTCATTATTAATAAAGTGTTAATCGGACTATTAATAGGTATATTCCCTAAAAGGAAAAACATTAGAAACAAAGAAAAATGTTGCAACATAATACTACTCACCACTTGTCGCCATCCGCTTCTTCTTCAAAGTCCTCTTCTTCCTCGTCTTCTTTCTTGGACAAAGACTCATACTGTAATCTACAATCATCAGCACTCCTTCCGTGCATCTGTGCCGAAACACTGCACCAGTCAGTACCAAATTGAGCGACTAGGTTTTGAAGCCGAGATATCTGATATTAATAAAATTGACAAAGTGACTTCTTTCATAAGTGAACAATAAAAAAGGTTTGCGTCATGCTCACGCAAAGACAATGATCCCTATAATGATCCCCAAACACATGGTTCACTTTGTTTACACTCCCCCGTAATACAACCTGTCACCTATTGTCCTGTAGATCGTCGACTACTTCGAGAGAGCACCACTAAATCTTTTTTCTTGTCGTGTGCAAGAGTAGCACAGGAGGTTCTGGTCACTCTAAGGAGTCGCTGAGCAACATGCCTTTCTTTTAGGCTTTTCGTGAAGAACTCTCACCATCGGGTCGGTGGTCTTCATGTAGTGCGTTTGACATCCTAAGGAATCCAATCCCTAACGACTCTTGTCCATCGGCCGTGTTCATACGCATTGTGTCCGGCCCACCTTATGTTCTATTGTGTGGCACACAGAACGGCATCTTTGATTTTTGATCGTTGACGCAAGTCGGTGCTTCGGACCCCTTCCTTGTGTGATACGGGATACTCCTAACATCATCCTTTCGACTGAGCGCTCAATTACGCTGATGTGATCTTTCATCCTGCTTACGCAGTGACCAGGTTTCTGACGCATACGTTAAGGCAGGAAGTAAAAGGTGGGCACGTAGGAGGGTGTTCTTTGTTGTCTTCATTAGATCTCCGATGCTTTTGAAAGCTCACCAAGCCGTTCGCTTTCTTCTGATCACCTTTGGAGCTAAGTTATTCATCACGTTTACTTCCCAAACTAGATAGACGTAACTGCAGCATTCCGAAATGTTCAATCCACCGAGAGTAAATGGAGCATAGGAAACCAATCCGTTCCTCATAAACATCGTTTTCGTGATATTTAGTCAAAAACCAAACCTTCCACAAGCTTTTATAAAAGTGGACAAGCATTCGCTCCGTTCGGCCAATGTTTGATGCTATAAGAACGATGTCATCAACAAAGCGAAAATACTATTTTTCCCGACTGTCGATTTTCACTACTATGTTGTCTCATTCCAGTGTTCGCATGACGTTCTCGAGGGTAGTGGTAAATAATTTTAGCGAGATTGTACTGCGTTGTCTAACTCCACTTTTAACGTCGATATTGGTATGGTTATATAATAGTGATATTTTGGCTGCAAAATTTTTGCACAGCTCAAAAAGCTCAAAGAAAAATCTTTATATACTGAGTAGAAACTCCAGGATTGTCCAGGGCTTCCATTACTGCTTCTAAATATTTCGCTTATCTGCATTGTTTTGCAAGTTCGAACATGAGTTGTCGGTTGCCTGTAACTCGTACGATTCCACGTTGACATATGAGGTCGAATATCTCTGGAGACAGACATTTCTCGGTAATTTTCGAATTCTCAGCTTTCACAGCGCTAACGTGAAGATACTGAATGGGACAATCCTATTCCTCGTTGATGATATCGAGAACGGCATCCTCCCAACAGCCTACTAATGAAATGAATACACTTTAGCTAATGTTGACTTTGGAATGTCGTTCTCTCAATTTAGCCGCTTTTTTATTTTCCGCAGTAAATCAAATCGCGCACGAAGGAGGCGATGGTTTGATCCTGAGTAGAATTTTGAGGCTACAGCGAAACCTGTTGGTCAAAACATGCGATTTACTACATCGTGTTTCGTCGCGGTACCCTCCATTGGGTGATTTCCACATCCAGCGCTGCGGGTGCGGTTCTGGAATTGCGACTTACCATGGATGGTCCTGGTCGTCATGATAAAATCTGACAGCGGCTCACCCTATCTGTTCTACTATAAACCGTGAGTCCCAATGTGACATTCCTCAGACGTTCTTCTGGACCCAGTCCTAGCATTAAATTCTCCAATGACCACCTTGAAGAATGTATGATCCTCCCTGTAGAACTCCTCCAACCTCATACAGAACGCTTAGACTTTCTATTCGTCATAGCTTGATGTCGGCGCGTAAACGACGAGGATTATCAAAGCCGGCATTGATCCACATCTCAATCGTAAAAGTGCCTTAGTTGCTCTGGTTGTTAGTTGCTTGTATAAATCGATGTTCATGGAGAAAATCGTGTTGACACGAACGATGACGCCGACACCACCTGCTCCTCTATTCTCGCATGTTTCCAGGAACAGTTCTTCTCCGGTGTCATAGGCATCATTGAATGGGCGGGGTATTCCCGTCTCGACCAGTCCGGTAACGTCGTAGCTCGTACTTCTTGCCCGGATGATCAAGCCTTCTATTGAAGACTCATGTGCAAGAGCTCGCGTCCTGTAGGTACAGATTGTCACCTTAGTTCTTTGCGATCCAGGCTGCTTCCATTAGCCCTGAGATTTTAGCAGCCTCTCTGTACTCGTCCTTCCCAACGATGCCGAATTGGATGCTCTTGCGGGGTCAGGTGAATGTGGCCCGTTTCTTTTACTATGTTTAGCTTTTTGCTACCCACGTACGGCTTGTTGGGCTCTGACCGTGGGGGCTAGGTATACTCAGGGATAGCTTTCTAGTCCTCTCCCAGAGCAGACCTGGAGCTTATTGGAGGTGACTCCTAACCGCCTCCTATATACTTCCCTGTTACTCGATTGCAGGCTTTGGCAGAATTGACTCTTACAATACTTATTTCGAAACCGACTTTCCTTGAACCTCGGTATCACTAATCAATATGTATTCTTTCTTTGATGAGCTTACACGAGGTTGATAATGATGATAATGATAATTTTCGGCTAACGTTTCGACGTCTTCGTCTTCCTCAGAGCCGATGATCCGAGCCGATGGTCCTCGCTTGTTATTCGTCTCGACGTGGCAGCTTCGCCTTCGTGTCGAGTCAGGTCTTCTTCAGTGAGCCATCTCCTCGAATGAGGCATCCTCACTCAGTGATGCCCTTTTATACACGATGCTGATGGTCGATATAATGATAATGTCCGGTGATAACAACTTGTATTTCTTCCGGACATACATCATTGCGCACATCAATACAATCCTCTCGAACAAGAACACACCCAACCACGCATGCTTGAACACGTCCTTGTAAATACTGTAGGTATGTGCCAAATCAGCGCAGTAGAAACAAGGAGTTCGTCCTCTGGATCCATTTGTATCCCAGAAAACCATGAGGTTGCTTTTGGTCCGCAAATAACCCCTATCCGCCACCTATGGACGGGCCACGTTGCCTCTCAACTAACCATGAGATCGCTCTGTGCTTTAACTACTCGAGTACTCAACAAATACCTTCCAAACAAAAGAGACTTTTCATGCTTTTTTTTTGAAAAAGCCTGCCGAAAATGCACAATTTGTTTGGTATTCATTTTCTTAATTTTTTTTTGTATGACACAATAAAGTTGTCTCCTATTCCTGGTAGTTGCAATGATGAGACCAACATGTGTTCAAAAAAGAAGTAATCGACAAGCTTTTGCAAATGGGAACTTCACTTGTAATAGTCAGATTTGCTCTCTTAAATCAGTATGATAATTGTGGACGTTCACATTCGACGCTACTTGCACGACAGCACACCAAGTATTAACTTCGATTGCCTACCAGTTATGTGGAAGATTCAAAAAAAGCATTCACGTGCAAATCACCTCTCCACTTTGCCATGTCTGATGAACTTCTAGTTCGAATTTCGCCATCTCTTCTTCAAGATCGCCAGCGAACAACTTAATTTTCATTAACACTTATTTTAAATGTAAAGAGAATGTTCCGGCAAATATTGTGCATTATGAAAAGTACATAAAACTTTAAAGGGAAAAAATAAAGTACCAAATCGAGTTTCTTCGAGATGCGCTTGAAACATGGTCCACAGCACTTGACAATTTCACGTGGGATGGACAAGTGTGCAAGAATAAAGGTTCGTTGTCGGTCATCCATCTGACGCCACTTTGTCGGCATTGTTTTTGTCGCTTTAACCTTGCGCTTACCAGAAGCGCACATTTTTACCATACAACGCCTACAACAAAATCCGACAAGAAAGTATCGCAAATACTCCAGAAATGTGTCAATAATACCACGACTCACCCGCTATTCCTAATTTTTAGCACTTCATCCTTACATTTTGTACAAATTTTGCAGTCTGCTCCTTGTCTTTTTGCATCAATTCCTCAAATAATACCAACTGATATTGTAAAAAGAATACAAGTAATCAACAAGCTCATAAAACAAGGGAATGGAAAGGAAGTACACAAAGAAAAATGAAACTGATATCTTAACATGTACAGTCTTCTAAATCTGTGTGAAAAGTGTGTAGGGTTAAGCTTAATTTTTCAACGTGTCATATATGATTTGAATATACATATAACGGTCACTTCACCACTCTCCTCTGCTAAAAAAATAACCCCATTCTTTTAGTATTTCTCATTCGGTTTATTTTCTTTTTGGCTCGGAATCCCCGAAGCATCCCATCTCTCCAAGGTCGGGAAATTCGTTCCAGACTTTTGTGGTATCATCAAAGTCCCTCCAATCCAGGTGAGAACGCAATAGGACGGTTATCACAAGACTTCAGGAAGAATCGACTCCACCAGTGTTCTACAACATTCATAACGAAGAGAAAAACCCTTAAGCAAAAGCTGAAGCCATTCGCAAAAGTTGAAAGATCTCGAATGATGGCTAAGAGTGAATGAATAGAAGTCAAAAAGTACTGGCGCACAGTATGGTGATGTTTAAGTAAATGATGAAAGAAAACACCACAAATCTATCAAACCAAAGAATTTTGGTAGTTAGCAGTCGCAAACACCAGAAAAAACCCGTTGCTCAAAATACCGCTTTCATACGACCCATTCCAATTCTTTGGTTACTGAGAAGCACTTATCGCTCACCATACAATTCGTAATTAGACCTCGTAAGAACACGGCCAGGATTTGTTGCCGGATTTATCCGCAGCTGACACATCACACATTTGCTGTCATTAGATGCACAAGCTGAAAGCAGATGACTAAACGATTCATGACGATTTGTAAATTCATAGTCAAAGAACGCGCCTGAACTTAAAAAAGAGTGCATTCAGAATATAGACGAATTCCGATAAGAGAATTAGCACGTAATTCAAAAATAAAATCCAGTACTAAACAAAGTTTTCATGAGAATAAAACAGTTCTAAAGTTCGAACATACACTGGGTTTCCGTAAGGGCATCTTGTGGTAATAACTGATACATCGCAAGCTCCTCTGGTGTTGGCATGAGAGGTGGCTTAAAATTTAATTATTGAAATTTTTCCAACGAAGTCTAAGAAAAAAATGCAGGGTCTGCAGAACTCTTCCACATAGTCAGTTTCAAAAAAATAAGCAGATAGCGCTGAAAACAACCTTATATGTCTTGGCAAGTTTCCTCTTACGCTTCGGTATAACTGCTTTGAAGTTCTCTCGCTTCTTACACAGGTAGTAAAACAGCACGCAGTCTTTTACTGTCTGTAATATACTACTGATTCAGTACAAATAAGGTATAACGAAGAAATGTCGTGTGTAATAGGCTCTATTTTTTAAAAAAAAGGAAGCGGTTATCTCTCACATGGTCTAATGATATAGTTAGAAAGAAGCGACAATATCGCATGCAGAAGAACGAACACCATTACATTTGGTATTTCTCCGTATTTCTTTTTAAATCACTATTGGTTTTGTAGGTAATAAACCTTGTTTTCCAGAAACATGGCAATATTTGCGTAGTTCTTGCCAACAGCGGACAATCGTTCTTTGAACAGCTTCTTTTCATCATCGGACCACGAAGCAAGGAAAGACTCGATCCTAAACACTGCTGCATGTTAGTCTTTACCAAAATTTGGTTATTAGAGAAAAAAAACCATTTCTTATTTTCATCAGCAGCGTTTTTAATAATGCCATGCTTGTTATCGAAAAGATGAGCACGGATTGTTGATTCATCTACAAGCAGAGGAGGAATAGCAGCAGCATTCCTCATTTTATGTTCTTCATCAACTTGACCCTAAATATGCTGGAAAATAAGGATAAAAAAGATATTTTAAAGAGATATGACAAACAAAATTACTAAAACGACAAAAGTAATCTTTTAAAAAAACCCTTTCGCTTGGAGCCGGTAGATCTTCGACTGCCTCTTGAACTCGCAAGCTTATTCGATCATTTCGACAAGAGCGCTCTTTCTCCTCTCGAGTACGCTTCATTTCAGGAAACGCTCTTTCAAATATCTCACGATTTTTCAGGTCTCGAGCTCTAAAGCGCACAAATTTCCAATAGTATCAAAATCTTCGAATAAAACAACGAAAACCACAAGTTGATCGGAAAAACTGAAATGACTCACATTTTTTTAGGGCTATTTTCCCATCGCTCTATTTTCTTCAAAAAATCTTTCATACATGAATTGTAAACATCGTCATTGTATCTAAAAAGGGCAGTTAAAACGTAGCTATAAATCCCCATCAATCGCACAAACATCCAGAGACTTTTTAAAAAAAACTAAAAAAAAAGAAGTAAAACAAATAAGGATAGGGCAATTTTGAACAACGACAGCCTCTGATGAAGAAGAAGACGTCGAAACGTTCACCAAATGAGTTATTCATCAACCTCGTGTATGCTCAAAAATTTAAAACATGTTAAGGACAGACGTTACGTTTAGCACATGTCAGGATAAGCTAATTGAATGTAGATGGAAACATTTACCTAAAGCATCCAAGTTTTACGCGTTGCCGGTATGCGATAGCTTCTCGGAGTTTCAGTCCAAAAGTCTAAATCCGGTACTCATAAAGAATTACTAAACTGATTCATTCTTTATTAAAATCACCTTTTGACGCTTCAACAGGTCACTCACCCCAGGTGCATTAACAGGCTCGTAAAAAAACTGAAATTGGGCTGATCAGTATATCGAATTCGTCAAATTATAAACAAAAAGTGATCGACTCACATCCTGTGCAGGTTTCTTCGTGGCAAGGCGCGCCTTAACTGGCGATTTTCGCTTGTTCTCGGCGATAATTCGCTGCCAAAGAGGGACGTTTTCCCTCTCATCAACCTGGAAAAAAATAGGAGACGTTGATAGAAAGAGGATACCGCTCAAAAATGTTCTCTGGACATATAACTTAGCAAAGTGGCATAAGACTTGAAGAAGCCATCTACTCATTACGAACAAATACCTCTCCATTTGAAACATCTTTGACCTCTTGCTCAGATTCCTTCTTGATGTTCTGAAAACGTACGAACGAAATAGCATTGAAACAATAAAAAAAAAATAAAGAAACAATGGTGGCGAAGTGAACAACAACCTTGAGACGCTCTCTCCGTTTAGTAAGGATCTCAACTTGTTGATCGGCTTGTTTTCGATCTTTTTCTATCAACTCCAGGCGGTCCGACGTAGCTTTCTTTTCGGATAGCTGAACAGTACGAAACATTACCAGTTAGTCCCATCACACCTACAACCCAATTAGTTATCGGGTAAATAGAGCAGGTATCAGAAGAAAATTTCATCCATCCCATTCGTATGTCAGAACTCTTTTGCGGAACCCATTTGCTCACATAAAGAGAACCATAAATTTTGTACGTGACGTTTTTTTCCTCACTTTTGAAGACGATAAAGGAGCTACTAGAAGCACACCGGGCTTTGCCGTTGTAGACATTTACTCTTATCATGGATTACTGAATGGAAATGTCGTTCTTTTGCTTTTGGATGACCTTAGCCCGGGAGTGAATCGTTGCTGCACATCGCAGCTCGACTGCAAACGATACCAAGTGCGAAGTGATAAGTCACTGGTGGGTTTTCGCACAAATTAGTGAGCACTTAACAGAGTTACATTTCAGACACATATTATAAAATAGGAACACACTCAAAAGACCGACTTCCTGTAAACCTCGGCATAAACAATCGATATATTTACTTACATGTTCTTACGGACTGATCTTGTTAAGCGGGTGCGAGGTTGGTATAAGTTTGTTGTTTTTGTTATTGTCGTTGATGTTGTTGCTGCTGCTGTTGGTCGATGGCTGACGTTTCGGCGATTTCGCCTTCCTCAGAGCTGTGATGTTGCGAGTGGACCAACAACAACAACATCAACGACAACGACAACTTATACCAATTTCGCATAAGCTCAACAAAATCAGTTCATAAGAACGTTAACTTAAAAGAAATAGAGGTGAACTGCAAGCAACAAAAAAAAAAACACTGCATGAAAACATTCAATTAAAAAGTTCAATACTAACTTCGTCATTCTCCCTTTCCGTTAGCGTGGTCCCAGCCCCGGGGGAAGGATCGATTTTCATTCCAAGAAGACTTCCACTTGTATCGACGTGGAGATGATTATTGTCTTCTGAATGCAATGTCTTCTGAACCAAACATTTAAAACCAGCTGAGATGCGACAAACCTCTGCTGTACCCTTGCTGATAGCCAATATGAGGAGGAAAGAAATTCGACATAAGGGATGGACGTCGGTGAAGATCATCACGAGTGGACTAAACACATTAGGAAAGCAGATTCGTTTCGAAGTCTTTCCCGTAAAATATAGATGTATTTACTTGCTTCATACATTACCATAACTTTCCGATAGCACATTCCTACTTTAGAGCAACTCTTCACTACAGAAACTTCACACGTACAATGACAACTATATACCGTTATTAGATAGGTGTAAAAGGCAAAACCTGGTTTGTCTGATCCGAAGAATTTTCCTTGTGTTGAGGTACCTAAACGTGACAAAACTTTGGGTATAAAAAGACCGAAAAAAAACAAGTCACTGCCATTCTAACTAACGCTCAAAACCAACTTGTCGTGCGACTCCTTGTAGTAGTGAAGTAGAAGGTGCAGCTAGTTGGGCAGCGTGAACGGCATGCTAAAAAAGACGCTTCAAAAATCACAGATCAGGAACTAACGTGATAAATTTTCGTGGAAACCACAGCAGAATAGACTGACTTGACCCAGAGAGGCGATATATTGGCTGGAAGGGTGCTGAGGTGAGTTCTGTGCAGTTAGATTGGCGAACGCTCTGTAAAAGCAAAGTTCGAACTGAGCTGTGGAGATGACGAAACAAAGGATGTAAAGCGTTGCCTGAACAAGTCGAGGCCTTGGTGAGGTTGAGGAGCAGCGGTTTCTTGGGCTGTTTGTGAGCTTCCCCCACCGGTGGGAAACATTTGAACGGGTCGACGGTGAGATATGATGGTTCGTTAGCCCCGCACGGTTAAGCTGTCGTTTCAAATCGAAAACAACGAAGAAGTAATGAAATCACTGAATTCCAGTCCACTGTACAAAACAAATAGCATAAAAAAACTCAATAAATAGAAAGGATATTCGCAAAGATGATGCAAGAAAATAACACTAGAGCTTGAAAACACAGAAAACTCAACAACGAAAGATATTTAGCGGTAAGTTGCCAATGTAGATTGAACCCGAGCGGGATGACAGAACGAAAAACACAGGTGGAACAACAGACGCTCTTCCTATAGAATATGCTTTCACTCCTAGCTAGTAACGTATTAGAATGAGTACAGTTATCCTCGTTTACAGCCCTATTCACCACCGACTTCTATTCAAAGATAGTCCAGAACAGTTACAAGAGTCCCATTTCAACACGCGCGGGCCGCTACCATCGTCGAAATTGCGATTGGAGCAAGATAACTTACGGTTGGTTTACTCTTGCCTCCCATAGATTCCAATGAAGTTGCGGCTAGTTTTAGGCAGAAATTTTCCTGATCGTCAAATCTATCAAAAGAAGCGACTTCCTCAATCCCCAATCCTGTTCCCATCTTACTCTAGGCAAGTACGCTTCTCTTCTATTCGAAGCCGTAGGCCTATGGATATCTGGTGAGATACTGAGTCAGACCCTTCTTATTTCTGAAATGATGTTCACTATGACCTGAGAACTCCACGTCCTCATCATAATCCACCGCGTCTGCGAGCCGGTGTCAGCCGGAGACCGCTCTTGGAACGCCGCCAACCCCATCGTTACTGTGACGTCAGCTCGCTGCGGCGCGCGGTCGCGCGGCGGTCTCTCATTCCATGGCTGCGTGCGCAACGCTTTGTGGTATGATGGCCTTCTCCGGACTAGAGCTGTGGCAGTGACGAAAGGAGGAGATGGCGAGCGGATCGCACCTGAGAGTGTCCGATGTCAATCTGGGAAGTAAGTCAGTGACTCAGGATCGATGGAGGAGTTTCAGAACTTGTATGCAGGTGCTTTTTTGCAGGAGTGATGGGAATCTGTCGCTGTCTGAACCTTTCCTTTACGGAAGAACAAGTTTTGGCAATCATCAGAGTTCGTTTAGGAACCATTTTCATACTCGAATTGCACAGTAAACTATGCATGCCTTATTAAGATTGCCACTTGAACGTGAATTTTTGGTAGATCTTCATTGATGCTCAACGACGGTGTCGTCACTTTTTACCTATTGCCTATTCTTTTCTGTTGCCGAGTTGTTGTGTGGAATATAACTACAATGGTGCTGAGATATTTGCAGAACTCAGGATCGCTAGTGCCTGCGGTGGGGAGCGAACCCGATGTTTCCCTTTCAAGTGGCTATAGCGTTCACCACCTCAGCATGCAGGTCCTTGGAGTCCTCAAACTTGGTTCAGTGCCGATTTGTAGTCCCAGAGTCAATCCCGTTAACCGATGATTGCTGATAACACTTACAGGTCAATAACGCGGCTGAGAGAAAGACGAAACGAACGATTCGCAGTGTTGTGGTGAACGCGTTAGCCCCTGGAAAAGGTAATAGCGTGTTCGATCTCACCGCAGACACCAACGCTCCGGAGTTTTCCAATTATCTCAGCATCATTATGGTAATATTCAATGAGTTAAACGAGTTAGGTTAAGATGAACGTTCTAAAGAATCGTTTTGATTATTCGGTGAGTTGTTCATATAAGTGTGAGTGACACCACGGATGGGTAAAGAAGAACTGTAATTTTTCAGTACTGGGAAGCTTCGTGTGCTTCCTGGGTTTTACGGTGTAGTGAAAAGGGAAGAAAATCTGATAGATGAAGTCTGAACTATTGTTGATGAATTCGACGTTAGTCAAAAGAGTTTCCTTGGTCATAAGGACTTTCTTTAGGTGATAGAGGCCGGGGCGAGTCCAGCAGCACTTCTCGAATGGCTACGTAAAGTAGAGGAAGCTAAAAGTACGGAACTGACTGCCGGTTCGAAGGTTTCTACGGGACAATAGTTAAACTTATTCCTGTCTTGTTGAGTTGTTGCATGAATTTTTATTGTTGCAGACGCTCCGTTTTGTTCTAATGAGTGCAAACCCATCTATCTTTTTTTTTTGATATTTGACGTAAAAATATGGTTAGGACTTGTCGAGTTTCTCTAAGGAGCATCGATTACCATTGCGTGTTAAGCAGTACAGATTTAATGTTTGAGTGAAATTCAAGTGAATAAAGAGGATTTGTAGACCGTCTCTGTTCGAGTTCCGTCGATGGATTATACCAATCCCCGTTCTTTTTTTTTCTTTTTTATTCTATGAATTTCTATCGTTTAAACTCAAATTTGATGCTTTCGATGTCATTTTTCAATCGATTGCGAGATTTTGATGCTTATACGAAACCGATGGATGATTTTCGAGTGAAAACTTTCACTGGTGGCATGGGTAAGACGTTAAAACTTTATATCATTATCGCTTAAAGTCTATTGTGTTAGCTTACTCCTATCAATGAGCAATTCCCAGAACGGTTTATTACCACTGGGCACTTGAAGGTCCCAGTACATTCCCTGTATGCTACGAAAATTTCTAGATTCATTAATGACAACATTCGGGGTGAACTAACCCAGAAAGCAAATGCTTTCATTTGCAAATGAGGCTATACCGACCTTGTTAAGTATTCACTGAGAAATGGTGGTACATCGCAGGTGTCTTGGATACTGGTTGTACGGGTCCCAGCATAATTTCTATTTTCTCGGAGTTTTGGTGGTTTAGCTATTGTGGTTTCCTGGAGTCCCAAGGTCAGCGTAGCCAACGTCTGCCCAGGTCGTCACCACCACAGGCAGTCGCTGCCCATGTGTATCAGAGGGAGATTTACCACCACGCGACTAGTTTGTTACCAAAACAGTGGTGGATCCTGGTGTTGGTTTCCTCATAGCTAGGTTCTCTGATGAAAATGCCGGACTCCTCAGCTTCGTAGACCATGCTAAGGAGATGGAATTACCCCGCTGTACATCGCAACCCAACACCCAGGAACACCTTCCAGCCAGAGTGAAGCGTAAACCGTTGGCAGGAACTGCAATTATTGATGGTGTGAAATTGTTTTGGAATACTTCGATGTTCATAGCTGCTATCATAAGAGAATGCTATTAGCATGTTGTCTGAGAAGTTTTCTCTTTTTATTCGAAGTGGTTTTCAGTTTCTTTAATCTCTACAATAGTTATAATATCGTTGGCCGTACAAGAGACCAGGCACTACCTTGCTGGTGATGTTATAGAGCAACTTTATGTGGATTCAACATCATCCGATGTCAGAGTTAATGTTCATTTTGACATCACATTTCATAGGCTACCCTGTGCATGTGGGTCCTTTTCTTTTTGCGGGGATTAATTATTGATTGATGGTGTCGGGTTCTCGGTCTAACTTTTGGTAAAACAACATTCCTCTTCTAACAGTTTATTTAGTTGTTACTGTTGATGTTATGGATGTGAGCAGTGATAACCAGGATGACATACAAGACGACGTATTCAAAATTCGTTTGGATAGCAGCGGAATGAACATCAGCCACGAAGTTCAGAAGATTGGTTCGTTTTTTAGTGTCTAAAGTCGGCAATATTCCTTAAATTTCGAAGGAGTGATTTGATTATCAGTGTATGGTGCTTCCGGTTTTATAAAATTGTATTTCTGTGGGGAGATTTTCTGATCACAGAGGTGAATCAAAATAAGACCTCTGTCGCTGCTGTGGTAGCGACTCCGAAATGTGGCAGCTGCTACGGAGCTCTTCCTGCCGGGAGGTCAGTCATCCACTGGAATTTCATTCGTTCAGTCGATGCCAATCATCATTAGTACCATGCAATATTTAGCTGTTGTAATACATGTGAAGAAGTGAGGGAAGCTTATCAACTGAGGGGTTGGCAGGTAAATGTCGAGGTGGTAGAACAGTGCAAGGTACGATAAGATCCTTTTGTTCTCTTTTTATATACTCTTATCGTGGCTCTATTTATTTAAAAGTGGATGTCAGGATGACCCATGGGTCCTGAAACTTCAGCGATTCAAAGGTGAAGGCTGCCGTATATATGGAAAGCTCCAAGTTGCAAAAGTTGCAGGGAATTTTCATTTCGCTCCAGGAGATGCCCATCGATTGATGCGAACGCACGGTGAGTCTAGATGACCATGAGTAAGAAATATTCTTTTGGAGCTTTTTTTCATAGATTTGATGGCGTACATATCATTAACGCTAGTTCCACCTACTGGTGTATGGTCAAGGTTGAACTGGCGTTAAGGACGGGGTAAATAAGATTGCTTGCTAACGTAGACCTCTTAATACATTCGCAAGACTTGACCTTTAAGGGGTCGTACGATACGATCATAATGGTTCCTTTGAGCTTTATGTCATGACACCTCGGTTCATAATGAAAAAAAGTAACTTTTATTGATTGCGGTAAAAACTTAGGATCTGCAAATCTTTGCCTAAGGAGTTAAAGTGTTTTGCCACCACAAATGGATAAAGATATAGGTCTCAGCGTTGATCAGTCCCTGAGAGATGCACCATGCATTCGACTTCATTAAGCACCATTGATCGTGAATGAATGCATATCTGGTCTTTACAATGGCTCGCGATGGCTTACCGATGTGTCGAGCCAGCGCTGCTATCCTCCCAGATAAGTTTGGTACCAATTTACCGACCGCGGATGGATGGAACGCTTGATGAGCTTTGGGCACGTGGATGGATCCCATGTGTACTGTAGGGCGCCTCCGACCATCGCGCTACGCGCGTCCGTGTAGAGTTCCTATTTTGCCACCATAGAGTTCCGACTTTCTGGAGCATATGACATATTTGATCTACGTTATTTCTTAGAAGCTCACATTTCGAACACGGAAGTAAATGAACAAGAGGGATTTTGCTCAACCGTTAACAACAGTGTTCCCTAGTGAATCGTTTAAATTTGCAACTGCCACTGTTTTGCTGGGAATTTTAAAGAGTCGACTCAGTCTTAACTCTTTTATTTGCTGCCTTTTTCTTCTTCATGGCAGGTTATGTTGTGAAATATAACTCGTATGAAATGCTGAGATATTTGCAAAACTCCGGACCACAGGTGTATGCAATGGAGAACGAACACGCGCTGTTGTCCTTACCGAGGAGAAGCGCACTTCACCACTACACCATCCGGGACCCGGATGCATACACCTGTGGTCCGGAGTTTTGCAAATATCTCAGCATTTCATACGAGTCGACCCAGTCTCGTCGACTTTTTGAAGTTTGAATTTTAAGTATGTCTAAATTTAAAAGGCAGTACAAGAATCATCCATTTAATAAACGCAATACCTCCCAACGGTTTGCCGCCTTATCGTGGCTGGGAATTGCTCTTGGGTGTCGGACTGCGATGCACGGCGGTATGATTCTTCCCTACAGCAGGGTCTCCCAAGTTGAGAAGGATTCCGGCGTTTCCATTAGGAAGTCCAGCTAAGAGTAAACATATACCAGGATCCACCACAATCGTGGTATCGAACTAGTCGCATGATGGCAAATCTCTTTGTGATTCACAAAGACGGGGACTGCCTGTGGTGGTGGAGACCTGGAGCAGACTTTGGCTAGGATGACCTCGGGGCTTCAGGGGTACACAGTAGCTAAACAAGCAATGCTCCGAAAAATGGAGATAGTGCTGGGGTCTGCATAATTAGTGAGAACAAGCCGTTCAAGTATCCAAGGAAGTAATAAACGCGATAAGGCAAAGCCTCCTTCCACAACTTTGTAATGTTCTGGACTCTTGGAATTTTGTAGAAATTGAGGGATTATCATTTATTGGAAAGCAAGCTTCATTACAAATATGTTATGGAGTATCAGTCGTATTGGTGAAGGGTGGAAGACGGACATTTTCACAGAATAATTATTGTGGAGGTGAAATCCATCTTCGCTGTTCTCGATTTTCAGAAAAAAGAAGTCGACCACTAACATGAGCCTACTTTTAATCGTATTTTGTTCCAGTGCACGATTTCCACAGTTTGGACTTGTCAGTCTTCGATACTGGGCATCGAATAAACCACTTATCGTTTGGTAATGAATTTCCTGGAAAGCAGTATCCATTGGATGGGACGAATTTTGACAGTATTAAAGGTGCTGTTTTATTCACTTAGGCAGTTGATTAAATCGATTGTTAGTCGGTTTATCTTCTTCGTCATTTTATCGCTTCATGTTAGCTATTGTTCTGGTTCTTTAGTTGTGGATGTCAACGCTGTTAAATTGTGTTGTACATTAATAACTAATTGAACACAGTAGTCACCTTGCTCATCACAGTTTTTTGAGGACCTATAATGTATAACTACTATGTGAAAGTGGTACCCACAAGTTACGCTTATATGGACGGTCGCGTAGAAAACAGTCATCAGTTCTCGGTTACAAACCATCAAAAGGACGCTGCAAAAGGTAACAAAAACATACTACTATTGCTGTTTCATTTCATTCTGAATATATGCGTTCCATTCCTCCTCTGTTTTCTCTCTCTCCCCTCTCTTTCTCTCCCTACTCGTTAATACATTTTTTCGGGGAACTAATTGCTCTTTTCTTTGAAAAGTTCCTTAGAGGTTTTTTTGCACCTGTCGAACACGTCTATAAATGTATACATTTTATTAAAAATACTCGTATACGATTTTATGAGACTTAGAATATAAGTATTGTTTGGGAGACATTACGGTAAATTGTTTTCCATACTATGTAGGCAGACTGAAATCGAAAGTAGGTCAGAGCAAACGTGTAGATATTACCACAGTAATGCTGAGATATTTCAAAACTCCGGATCAGAGGTGTCTACGATGGGGAACGAACGCCCCATTGTCCTTTCCGGAGAGTTACGCGTTCACCGCCACACCGTGCGGGTCTTTCGTTCTGCCTGTCTCTCAGTTAGTTTCCTACCCACACCTTTTCGTGGAACTAATTGCCATCTGTAATCACCCGTTGACGGAATTGATCTGGGGAGCCCAAATCGACAATGAACCCAGTTAAGGTGAGGCCACGGTCCGGAGTTTTGCAAATACATCAGCATCATTGTGGTTGTATCATACAGAGTACCCCTCTGTGAAAAATTGTAATAAGCAGTGAATAAAAACGTTAACATTGTGTAGATATTGTTACCATGATCCTATAACTTCTGTTCAAGGTAGCGGAATTCCCGGTTTCGTGGTGCAATATGAGTTCAGTCCCTTAGTAGTACGATACGAGGAAAGGCGTCAGTGAGTCGCAATATTTAGTCTGTTTCATTGTGGAAATAGACCTATTGAGATTTCTTATAGGCATCTTATTACGTTTCTCGTTTCTCTGTGTGCTATAATTGGAGGGGTATTTACTGTCGCACAGTTGATCGACTCCATAATTTATCATTCTTCACGGGCTATTGAGCGAAAGCTTTCTATGAACAAACTTTGGTAGTGCATTATATTTATGATTTCTTTGTGTAATATTATTGGAGGGGTATTTACTGTTGCCCATTTCTTCGACTGCATAATTTATCATTGTTCATGGATCATCAAGCGAAAGCTCTCCGTGGGCAAACTTGGTTACTAGTCTTTCCTTTATGGGATACTAATTATGTATGTATTTTCGAGAGATATATTTGAATACGGTTGTATCTGTGATAATGTATTTGTTGGTGCATGTCCTGGTGCCTTTTTTTCTCGTAAATGGCTCGGGGTTCTTGTTGGAAAGCTTAATAAATAATTACAGTCATTTTTCGAAAGTGTTTCTTGTAATTAGGTACCTTGAAAATTTATTCTTACTTTACGCATGTGGGTAGGCATGATACAACGTCCTCGATGTGCTGGTCGACTTATAACAAGAATTGCTGTCATTTTGGAAATTTTTTAGCGCAGTAAGCCTCCCTGCGAGCGAAGAGGATCAAAAACTGAACGTGTGAGGATGTGAAGACACCCATTGCCAGAAATTTAGAAAGAAACATGCTCAATCAGCTTTTACGATTTAATGGAGAGAACGCGATAGATCCTCAAAGTCTCCAACTATTAAAGTCGCTAATCCTAGCAACTGCTTGGATTATAGTAAGAAAGCACCCAAGCCAAGAAGGGAAGTGATAAGGTGCGCACCACGATTGAGGATTTGTCGTTTAAATAGTTAAATATTGTATATATCAATAAAAGTTCTATGCATAATTCGTTCTGGACTACAGAAACAACTTATAAATGTAAATGCACAGTGTGCATGTGATGAAGGATTTTATCAAGAAGAAACTATAACATCCCATAGCACATGGTATGAGAAACCAATTACTTTGTGTTTGGGTCCACATTTTGTGATGGAGAATTATTTGTACAAAAAGAGAAATCCAATACACATGGGATCTATCTTCAGGCCCCAGACTCGCCAAATCCTCCATCCCTCCGGAGACAGCAAATTGGTACCAGACTTGCCTGGAAGGATAGCAGCACTGGGTCGCACTGGTCGCCAAAAGAAAAACCAAGCAACAAAGACGTCCTGGTTCACTTCCTTTCTTACCACCCTTTACACACAAAGAGGGCGCTTGTGAGCAACACGTTTCGAATGGTCATCTCTGTGTGCACAACCAGTTCACCAAAGCAAGAATCGCGCGACTTGGCTCTGCAAATAGCCATCTCCAGCGGCTACGAAGTAGTTACCGCACGAAATAAGTTTAGAAGGAGAGCGACGCGCCCACGCGAATCACTTGGCCAAAAGAAAGTCCCGTTTATGTTGCCTTTTATAAGCGATGAAGTAAGGGTAGCTATAAAACGATGCTTAAGAAGGGCAAGTCTAGAGGAATCGGTAGCGATAGTTGAAATACCACCGGCTACTCTACGTCGTCAGTTAGTTCGTAACCGCCTGTATGACCGTCTATGTGAAACAATAAATTGCGTAGTTTGCCCTTACGGCAGGGACGGTGATTGTATGAGTTCAGGTACGATATACCTGATCTCTTGTAATAATTGCGGAGATGAACATATTGGCGAAACGGGCAGACCTTTGTGTATCTGTATAAAATAACATCTAGATGGCAAACGAAAACTAAGACAAAGTACCTCACCAGGCGCGCATAGGATACAAAAGCATAGCGGAGACGATTTTGAAGTAAAAGTCAATATCCTTGCACAGGAGACTAAAAGACCAGCGCGAAAACTTCTTGAGGCTTTTTGGATAGATGGCAAAACCCTACAATGAATGGCAGGGATGAATGCCCAGAGGTTATACACGACCCGACCCCGTGTGTTCGCATCAATTCCTGATGTGGGATGGTGCAGTCATCAACCATATGCGACTATAATCGGCTGTTCTAAACTTCGTCATTGGAAGTCACGTAAAAAGCGATGAGCTTTCAAGAAGCTGTTGTAAGTTTTAACTTATCACTTACTGCCTACTCTTTTTAACGACAGAGTATACATTGCGAAATATAACTTCGATGATGCTGACATATTTGCAAAACTCCGGACCGCAGGTGTATGCGGTGAGGAACGAACGCGCTATTGTCCTTTCCGGGGAGTAGCGCGTTCATCACCACACCACGCGGGTCGTTCGTTCCGCCTGTCTCTCAGCTAGTTCTACCAAAAGGGCAAAAGATCGGTAGTTTTGGTCTCCTGCGGTTCGGAGTTTTGCAAATATCTCAGTTGTTGTAAACGTTATTGAAGCGTTTGGCATAGTAGATTGTATATCAGTGTAGCCTTCCAGGCTCTGAAGAAGGCGATACTGCCAAAACGTCAGCTACTGTTGTATTGTATTGTTTTCTATGGAAGTAAATGTATAACTGCAGTGGTTTTTCTAGTGTGCACTCCACATCAGTTCATCGTCTACTTTACATCAAATGGCTAAAGCCTTGAATGAAAACTTTTAATATTTTGTGAATCCGTTATGAAAAACTTTGAAACAGTTTCTTTTAGAGAGTACGACAGACCTACTACGCCAGGAGTTAAATTTTGTTAACAATTCGACTATGCGAATGCTTGACGTCAAGAGAACCGAAATGAAGTGGATTATTTCGATCTCATGGATCCCATCGATGCCACTAAGCCGGCCAATCTCATGGCTTTTCAGTATAAACTGTGACGGCAGGTTTTTGTTCCTTCGTAATCCAATTGTAGTGGTTCATCTGGTCGCAGTACGTCATTTTCTGAATTCTCGAGGGATTTATGGGGAGTTAGGGGAGGGGTTTTCGGCGACGTTTTTTTGACGAGGATTTTTGTTGCAGCTCGCTGATTTTGCACTACAACAAACATATTCCTTTTTATCGCTGATCCATTGAGCAGGAGACGTCCATCTTTATTCACTAAGCCGATAGGGAATAGATTACTTATATCAGCCGTATTGCCGCTAATGTATAGATGACTCGACAGCACAGCGGCGTCCAGTCGCTTGCTGCCCAGTGGGCTCCACTAGTCTGAAGGAACCAAAGAGCACCAGACATTTACCGTTAGGCCAGTTACCTTTATTTAATAGAGAAAAGTTCGCCATGGATGGCTCGTCGCACCTTGCGCTGGCATTGTTCTCACTCAATTGATGCAAATGTTGAACTCCTCTTTAACCTGGGTGATCATGCCAAGTGGGTAGACCGAGAACACCACAAGCGACATCCACCGATATCAATCTTGAGAACTATCAATTTTGCAAAAATAAGAAGCATATAGTATCACGCATGCATTCGGACCTTATATAGATCCTTTGAAAAAAGGAAAAACTGGCGGCGAAAATATGAAAACTATCAAAATATCATATTCAAATGCCAATTCCATTTATCACTATCCTGGAAATGGATTGACATTGAATATAGTTATACACTTCAATAGTTATCACCGAAATAACCTAAACTAAGTTTGCCTGCACTGTGACAATTTGTTACAGTACGGGCGAAGTCACAATGTTTGAAAATCAGCGTTTTTTCCTGTCTGGTGAACTCCTCACTGCCCTCTCATGTGAATTGAATAAATAGGACCTATGAAATGAAGCGTAGTCCACCCTCCAGGATCATCAAGTAGGTTAACTAAAGTCTTCCGAAGACTTCCTATTTTTATCCGGAAGTTTTTGCTTTTGGAAATTAATTAAATGCTGTGCACTAGAAGGTTTTCGAATTTTCACCACAGTCAGTCTCTGGAATTCGTGAATCGGAAAGAAGTTTTGACCGGCGATTTTGATACAAATCTTCCAACCGTGAAAGTATAGGGTACTTGGTCTTAATGAGGGCTGTGTGAAACCAGAAAACGCTGCTTGTATTGCGCAGTATCGTTGACCACTGCACTGCTCGCTTCCACACTAACTTTACGAAAGCATTTTTAATCATGAAATACTTGTCTATTATTAAAGCAATTACAATGTATTTCATGTCGAATATTAATATATAACTAAGCTTGCTGCATTTGACACCGACGTGGTGCCACGTGCTTACTGAGAGAGTTCGGTGAGAAATGTCCTTACTGCGTGAACAGTGGCGTAACTACTAGCATTGATAATTCTTGCTTTCTGTATTCTCCGTCGAGCAGCTCGGGATGCATCTAAGAGGATCCTGTCACTCAAGGGATACAAGAGTCGTCAATCTAATAGCTACAGTAACGTGCCTTTCGTTACTCGTGCAATGTGTCTTTTATTTCACTGTTTTTTTTTAGTGAAAAGATAACCACAAGCGCCTCGCTTGGTTCTACCTTTCCATAGGCTTATTTTAACCTGAGTTTCCTCATAGAGGTATTGTAGTCCATAGTAAGGATGATCGTCAGAGATGGAACTCCGTTGTTCATAACACTTATAAACTCCTTGAACACTCCATGCTGAATCAATAGCTGAAATTCTGGTCATAGCCACCAAAGTCCTAGAATTTCCATCGTAATTTAATTGCCGGATATTAGATAAATCCCATCCAAAATCTGTTCATCTTATAGGAGTAGATGAGTGGTTGTGCGTGTTGATTTGACGTGCTTAGCGGTTGTTAATTTCTTGCACAATGAACCCACATCAAGAGAGAGTGGCACTCCTTGGAACCACTGAGTATTCGACCAACCATCACTAGCGGAACACCTATATCCTGCCTAGCTCCGATCGGGATGACAAGGATTCCCATTTAATCACAAAGGTATTTGTATGTAACGGACTCATGGCCACGCTAGTCCATCGACTTCACCAATCCAAGCCAATAACTCAGTGAAATTTGAAAATTAGGCCTAAAATTTATAAAAAGAAAAAGCAAGTCAAACTGGGATGTGCCAAAAGCTTCCACCGAACACAGAAAAGTCCAACATTACTATCGAGTCAAATTGTTTGTGTTTCAATACAAACGAAGAGAACTAACAATTTGTTTTCGGACTTACTTTCTGAGCAAACGAATTTTTATTTGTTAAAAGTTTGCATTGATGCTCGTCAGACATTTCTTCTCCATGTGTTCTGTAAGTTAACGAGAGTTTTGTACTCGTACAAGAAACATAAAGCGC